GAAATTGGGAATCAGAAAAAGAATGTTTTCATCAGTATACTAATGATTTAGAGTGGAAAACTGACTAACAGAAAAAATATATGAGAATATAAGTTTTCATACTAGGTGTCTCATGGTTGGTTGCATGAAAGGAAAGGAAAACAAGTAGATTCCTGAGCACAGGAATTTGGTTTCCCAAGGACTTTTTTCTTAAGATAACTTTTGACGTCTCAGAACGGGGTGATCTCTACCTAAAACTATTGTCATGGCTGGGGCATTGGAAGGTATTTTTCATATATTTTGCATATTTTTTTCATATTTTTCTCTTGCATCTCATAAGGTATAGGTTCACATTGCAACCTTTCCTTCAGTGGGAGAATTATTAGTATCTTTCTCATCTGAGTGTTACGTGCAGGAAACTTTTAAGAATTCAGTTCATTTAGAAAACTCGAGTGTCCTGTCAGACATAGTGGTAATAGGACAACATATTCAAAGGTCATTAGAATAGGACCGATAAGTTAAAGTAAGATAAGTACACAGTGTGATTATACAAACCTTATTTCCTTAGGAAATGAGGCTAGAAAAAATCATTTCGTACATGTTTTCTACTCAGTTCCTTCTGTCCTTAAGTTCTCTGTATCTTCATAGTACAGTTTAAATATCTCTATTCCAAAAGATAGCTGAGAATATAAAACACAGAAATGAACATCATTCTTCTCTGCAATGCCTGATGAAGTTACAAAAAACTCTTGCAGGAAATTTCTTCCAGTTCTGACTCTGGCAATATAAAAATCTAGGACCAAGTTCTGACTGTGTAATCTCATAAAGTGCTCAGTTTTTATTCTTCATCTCTCCTGGTGTCCATCCTTAGTTTTATTCTATGAATTCCATCATCTGTGTTTCTCTTGCGGATAGCTATTAATATGAAAGAGATGAGACAGGAGAATGGGATAAACTGGAAAGGATAAAACTGTTTAGAGCCTTCTAGAAGAAATCATTTCAAATTTTCAAATTCACCTAAGTTAAACCTCTTAAAATTATTTTTCCCTAGTAAAAGAGAACTTCACTGAAAACTTTGATGCATGATCTGGGTTAAAAGTTAGTGATGTATTTGTTTCTCACTGCTTTTTGCCTCTGTGAAAGTTGAAGAAATGTTTAAAAATCTTTTTTTGGTAAAATGAACAAATACAGATTCAAGCATACTAATTACAGAAAAGCAAGAAGAGGTCACAATTATGTTGTCAATGTTCTGCCTATATCCTAAAAGATTTTTCTTCTTGGTATTGAATTGCAATGCTTTTAGATAAAAAAAAAAAGTTTGTCTTGCTCTGTTATTCGTTCCTAAATATTAAAAAACCTCTGCCTAGTGTTTTGCAACATTCTATAGTGCAGAAACCTTCTTAGCCAACCATAGCTTGTTTTGCCTAAATTTACTTGAGAATATGTAGGCAGAGTTTGAGCTTCATTTGGGCAATTCCTCTTTAGTTCCTTGCAAAGTCCATGGAAAAGCAAGGCAGAATTTCAGTTTGTAACTTTCTTATGTATTTCTTATGTATGTAGTTGATTTGAGCAACTGGAGAAAATATTAATAGGACATGCACTAAATGCCAAGACTTTTCTTCCCCACACGTTAAGGAATTTAGATGTGCCTAGCAAAGGCGGTGAAGTTGGTACTGAAGTGACCTGGAATATTGATTTTGCTGCAAACATAGTAAATATGTGAAATCAACATAGAAACGTGAGGCTGAGATGTAATCACTTGCTACTTGACCATATGAGGATACAAAGCCGTTGAGTATGAAGCTATACATATAAGGATTACCAAAGACCATTAGCTTCATCTGTGCCTGAATGAGAAAAATAGGCTCCTTCCCTACATACCTTAAGGAAATGTAATTAAGGCATCTATTGACATTAGTGCTGTCATTCATTTTGTTAAAATAGAAATCTAATATAGATGCACTCACAGCTGGGTCTGTAATCCCTCCAGTAGACAAGGCAGTTTATGGTTATAGAAATTCAGCATTTGACTATCCTGGGATTAGAAGACTCTATACTGTAGCACACAGAGTTTTTTAAAGAGTTGAGACTCTTCCACTGAAGGAAAAGAAGGGGATGGAGTAAACTTTTAAAATACAAAGATTTTGTAGCAATTTTAGAAGTCAAAAGGTTTTTTCTGCCTTTCAAGTTCCATTTTACGATTAGATGTTTCTGTAAAATATGACAGTCAGTTGTGACAGCAAAAGAAAGCATCTCCATTGCTTCAGTGTATACCGTATAGGAAGCAAAAGTTAACTCTCAGAGGTAAGGATTGATATGCCTACCTTGTTAAGCTATATAAGCTAGATGGTCAGTTCTTTGGGACAAGGTATTGGTTTCTTCAGGGTCTCTATGTGCCTAATACAGGGATGTCATGACCAACTAATTAATGCTCATGGGCAGTAGTGCAATACAAATATTAAGCAATAGTTGCCATAAACTATTTTAAATGGGATGAAGTGATAAAATCCAAGCTATTCAGTCTTTGTGTTCAAGAACATTAGATTAAATTAAATTATTGATTTTGCAAAAATCATGTGAAGGAGAGATTTTGAGTATCTGTGTCTTAGCAAAGATTTTAAAGGTTTTGAGAGGAGCTGGTACGGCTATGAGACAGAGAAGGTCAGGGGTTTGTCTGAGACATTGATTATCCAGGTAACATGTTTGGAAGCTTTTTGATGAAGGGCTGTTTTCTGTTATTTTAATATCCATCTTTAGATCATCGTAGGGTTTTGTCCTGCTTGTTTTTTAATCAGCCGAGAAGAGCAATAAAGCTTCAGTTCTGATGGCCTTTCTTCAGGATGGTTTTTATTGTCCACCAAAACAATCTTAAAATGAAAAGCAGATCAGCTGAATGGCACTGGAAAATAATTTCCAGAGATTATTCTCTTTTAGCTAGGACCTATTGTTCCATTTGAAATCTGATTAACATGACCTTTCATACTCTGCCACAAGCAGGATCATGGTAAAAGGCTTTCGGTCTTATTCAGAATTGGATATAAATTCTCATATTAAGTGTAGAAAGAAAAGTGAAAAGTATCTGGAGATTGCTACACACTTTTCTTCCTTCCAACTTTAAAGTATTATAAGGTACTTACTCAATTATATAAGGGAAATACTTAATTGTGATGAGTCTGTCTATATTTTCTCACCAGTAAACTCAGTTATTTTTAATGATCTGGTAAATCATTAGAATAGTAAATTTCTGTTTTCTGCAGGTCAAACCCTCTGTCAGGAGGGAGACCAGAGATGTACTTCCTGTCCTGATCCCTGTGGATCTTCTCTTTGTGAGATGAGAGACAGCCAGACAAACTGCAGTAAGTAGGTCACATGTTCATATTGTCACTTTTTTGGGTATTTTAGAATGTAATGAAGATGCAGGGCAGGGCACAGTAAGTAATACTTGTATTTACTATCTAATGCCCAAATGTATAATGATTAAGTGTTGAAAATTGCAAAGTGCAAACAAAAGTTTTATCATAACTCTTGATTGTAAACATAACGTACTAAGAGATAGTCATAATGTTTGAAATTGAGATTTTTCCCTCCTCTGAGTTTTTAATACACTATTAATGAGTGTTTACAGTTGCACTGTTTCTTAACTTAACTGTTTCTTAACTAACTTAACTGTTTCTTAACTTAACTGTTTCTTAACTGTTTCTTAACTTAACTGTTTCTTAACTGAAATTCAGTATATACACAAAGGAAACAACATAGCGTAAGTGCGAGCTACTAATTTATTTTCAAAATGTAAGAAAGAGTGATACTATTTAGTAGTCTGGAGAAGGCCCTTTTCCTTGGGAAGAATTTTGGTATTCAAACTGGCAAAACTAGTTATTCTTCTGACCGATGCATACTGTAGGAGAGCAAGGCCTTCCTCATGGCGTATCTTCCTTTGTGTGTCCTGTGCTATATACCACACCATGCAAGCCTCCTGTACCCACCGCTCACTTGCTTCTAAGTAGCTCTCTTTCTCACCTGTGCAATGCAGCACTGTGAACAGTGAAATATGTTGGGCTAGATTTTGAAACTGGAGCAGAACGGAAATCAGAATGATTTATTAATTAAAGCACACATTAATTAAAAATGTGTTAATAGAATCTCATCAATTCAGGTCACCTTGGTGCATGGGCATAGCAAGCTTGCCTCACTTACATATGAATGTGTAGACATATCCTATAATGGCTTTATGGATTTGAGCAATTATCCCTGCAAGGTACTGTTTGGTACTACATGGTAGCCTTTTTGGATAATGTTAACAAGATGCTTTATTACATTATGTAGAACCATGGAATAATTTCGGTTGGAAGGGACATCTGGAGGTCATCTAGCCCAAAGCAGTGCCAGCTGGATCAGGTTGCCCTGAGCCTCATGCAGTTCAGTTTTGAATATATTCAAGGATAGGCAACCCGTTCCAGTGTTAAACTATCCTTATAGTAAAACTTTTTTTCCTTATATCTAAATGGAATTTGCTGTATTCCAACTTGTCAGTTGCCTCTCATCCTACCCTGGTGCATTTCTGAGAAGAGTCTGGCTCCATCCACTTTACACCCTCCCATAAGATAATTGTTAAGAGCAGTGAGATCTTCCCTTAGCCTTCTCTTCTTATGGCTGAGTGAACCCTCTTGTCACAGCCTCTGCTTTGTGTATGATATGCCCCAGGCCCCGAGCCAGCTTGATGGTCCACTGCTGGCCTCACTCCTGTCTGTCAGTGTCTTTCATGCATTGGGAAGCCAAAAAACTGGACACAGTACTCCAGATGTGCTCTCACTAGTGCTGAATAAAAGGGAATGTCAGCCAGTCATCCTGTCACAGGCAGCAATCAGGTTAGTCAAGCATGACTTTACCATGGTAAATCCATGCTAGCTTCTCCCAGTTGCCTTTTTTTTCTTTCATGTGCAGACATGGCTTCCAGGAGGATTTGCTTCCTAATCTTCCTGTTAGCCTGACTGGCCTGCAGTTCCCTGGATCCTCCTCCTTGTCCATCTTAAAAATATATGGTATGTTTGCCTTTTCCCACTTATCAGGAACCACCCCTGATTGACATAATATTTTGAAGATGAAAAAGAGCAGCCTTGCAGTGACATTGGCCAGTTCCCTCAGCACACTCAGATGCATTCCATATGGTCCCTGGCCTCGTGTGTGTCTAGTTGACTTAAGTGCTCTTACCTCCAACTTTCTGTACTGTGGGAACTGCTTCACTCTCACGGATTCTAGTAGTATGCTCAAGGACCTGGGAGGCTAAAGGGCAGACCTCACCAGTGCAAACTTGAGAATGAAGAGGCACTGAATCCCTTGGCCTTTTCCATGTCCCTGGTCACTAGGTCCCCTGCCCCACTAAGCAGCAGACCCATGACTTTCTTAGCCTTCCTTTTGCTGCCAATGTACTTATAAGAGCCCTTCTTGCCCTTGACATCACTCAGTAGTTTCAACTCCAGATGAGCTTTGGCTTTTCTTCATCGCCTGTATGCTTGGGCAATGTCTCTATATTCTCATAGGTGACCTATTCCCTCTTCCACTTTCTGCATTCTTCCTTTTTATGTTTGAGCTCGCTCAGGAGAACCCTGTTCAGCCAGCTGGCCTCCTGCCACACTTGCTTGACTTTCTGCACATTGGAGTGGGGTGTTCTTGTGCTCTGAGGAGGCTCTCCTTTAAAATCAACCCACCATCCTGGGCTTCTTTGCTTAGTCTGATGTTTTGTAGCTTTTTTACTCATAAAGCTTCCGAAAGGTTCAGGCATTACACTAAAATCGTGCCTTATATGTTTAAAACTGCAGCAACTTTAAATTTACTCAGGATGTGGCATATCAGTTTTTGGTATTACTGAAACATTTTGGGAATGGTATGCAGTGGTTTAGTTTTAGAGTGAGCAAAAAAAGAGCATTTTGTAATTTTCTTTTTTTTTAAAAACTATTAACTTAAAGAAACTGCTTACTAAACATGTAAAATGTATGTATGTGAAAAGAACAGCAGACTCACAGCTAATTGCTATTTGGTCTCCAGTCATGTGCGTAAGACAGGTGGTCCTTATTTCGCTGGCAAACAAGGCACCTGCAGCAGCCTTACCCAGAAAGTAGGAAAGCACATAATTCACACAATCACAGAATGGTTGAGGTTGGAAGGGACCTCTGGAGATCATCAGACGGAGCTTCCTGTGTTTCAGTTTGTGCCTGCTGCCTCTCCTCCTATTGCTGGGCACCACGGAGAAGAGTCTGGCCCCACCCTCTCGACACCCTCCCTTCAGATACTTGGACACACTGATCAGATCCCCCCACAGTCTTCCCTTTTCTAGGCTGAACAGGTCCAGCTCTCTCAGCCTTTCCTCCTAGGAGAGATGCTCCAGTCCTGCCCACAACTGGACACAGTACTCCAGGCGAGGCCTCCCCAGGGCTGACGAGAGGGGCAGGATCACCTCCCTCCACCTGCTGGCAACACTCTGCCTAATGCACCCCAGGAGACCGTTGGCCTTCTTGGCCACAAGGGCACGTTGCTGGCTCACGGTCAACTTGTTGTCCACCGGGATTCCCAGGTCCTTCTCTGCAGAGCCGCTTTCCGGCAGGTCAGCCCCCAGCCTGTATTGGGGCATGGGGCTGTTCCTCCCCAGGTGCAGGACCCTGCACTTGCCTTTGTTGAACTTCAGGAGGTTCCTCTCTGCCCGTTTCTCCAGCCTGTCCAGGTCCCTCAGAATGGCAGCACAGCCCTCTGGGGTATCTGCCACTCCTCCCAGTTTTGTATCATCAGCAGACTTGCTGAGGAGGCATTGTGTCCCTTCATCCAGGTCATTCATGAGTAAGTTGAATGACACTGTTCCCAGTACTGGCCCCTGGGGGACACTGCTAGCTACAGGCCTCCAGCGAGACTTTGTGCCACTGACCGCAGCCCTCTGCAGTCTGCCATTCAGCCAGTTCTCAGTCCACCTCCTTGTCCACTCATCTAACCCATGCCTCCTGAGCTTGCCTATGAGAATTCCCCACACCAGTCCCTCATTCTTTTGTCCTCAAGGGGTAGTAGGAGAGGCTCTGTCAGGCAGTTTTTTCCTACACAAATTTCATTTTGTAAACAGTGACTGCAGTACTGTAAAAGACAACAGTGTCTCAAGTCATTTGACTGCAGCTCAGTCTTTCACGCAATGCGAGTGAGCTGGAAGTGCACTTTCCTTCTTGAACTCATCTTCCTTGTGAATAAGCCAATATGGTCCAAGGCAGTTTGTCCAAAACCTTTCCCTGATCAACGCAGATTTTTGTATCTCATCATATGTATAGACAGCAATTTTGGGAAATGTTGAAATGGCTAGGATTATATTACAACATACTGGAAGAATTTTTTTGGCTTGTGATATCTGAGTTTTAAAACAATGTTCCAACTCAATGTTATGAGAAACCAAAGAGCTTTCCAGTGAAGGTGTTCCCTCATCATAGTATGGGCAATAGTCTGTAATTCTCAACAGGAATAATACATAATCTGAATTAGATGTCTTTCTCCCTTTCTGATCCAGTCCATATTTAATTGTTTTTACACAATGGAACAGCAAGAGAATTTGTGAGAGGTTTTCTTGCACAACATCTGGAAGAACTATTGTATTCATGTTATTTTCACTGTTCATATTTTGACTAGAGTTATTTCATCTTCAGTCAGAAAGGAGAATTCCCATGGAAAATTTCAATTTTGACAAAGAAGCATTTTCTGACCCAAATAACTCTTTTGTTGGAAAATTACTGGCTAAGCCTAGGCAGCATTTCATAATATTGAATATGATGGATGCTCTCCATATGTGATGATCTTTGATCAGGTTAGGCTGGCACTATAATGCGGTTACAACATTTTCAGAATAACAGAACAAATATCCTATTCACTGCTGTTGAAGCTGTAATTTGGAGAACTCAAAAGAGTTACTGCAGGTAAATAATATGTTCTCCTATCTAGTACAACCTCTGATTTTGCTCTATGTGGATCTAATTCCTATAAAGTATGTAGAGCAGGATAATAATTAAAATATTAAGACATTAAAAATGGGCATAAGTTCGGGTGTTGATTTAGGATAACGGATGCAATGGATTTTATTCCTTGTTGTCCACTCATTAAGTTGTAATTATACATACTACAAATAAGGGAGTAGCGAGATCTATTAAACTGTGAGATAGACTTCAGAAAGAAAGATTAAAATCTGGGTTGCCTGAATTCTGTGAAATTCAACCAGATGGTCACCTGGAGTGTACGCTCTGTTTATTACTCTGCTTCCTTATGGCAAAGAATTGGGCATGAGATTCAAGGTGTTTTTTTTCCAATCGTGCAGTGATACTGTTGCTCATAATGTGATGGAAGCCTTCTAAACCTAGTGTGAAAGCTGTTATCATACTGAAAACAGGTAAAGAGCCATCCTACAAGGGCATTCAAGAAATCAACCAAAGCTGCATAAATAAGAGGTATAATAAAAGAGACAATCATATATTTACTTTCCTTCAGTCTTAGACAAACCTATAGTACTATTTCTGTGGGTGAATTGTCTGAATAGGCAATTCTTCTTGGGATGCAACAAAAATAGAAATAATTTTCTGCTTTCTGTTGTCTATCCAGAGAGGCTGTCAGGAGTTTCTGCCCAGGAGGCAGTCTCCATCCTCGGAGATTTTCAAGACCTGACTGGATAAAGCTCTGAGTGATCTAGTTTGACCTCACTGCTGACCCTACTTTGAGCAGGAGGTTGGACTAGTGGCTTCCTGAGATCCCTTCCAGACTGAATTATTGTATTATCCTCTTAATTTTGACAACTACCCTGCAGGTATAAGGTGCATTATGGTAGCATAGCACCACAGTAGGAAGTGTGCTGTTGTAGGGCACCAGCTTGGAAAAAGATCAGAAGCTTGATTTGAAAAGAATAAATCTCTTTTTAAAGAATGGCTTATTGTACCTTATTAAATCTTATTACCCAGAAAGATATTAATGATGGAATATGAATAGTCTCTGAGGAGCTTATTAGGTCAAAACCTCCTTTCTTTACTGATATGAGTAAGGTACATATGGAGTCTCGAGCGCTGAAACTTGTATTTCTCATGACCTACCTCCTGACTGGTTAATTTGATAAATACTTGTGCAATTACTTCTTCAGGATTTCATCAAATCTTACACCATTTGTGGGTTGTTTTTTTTTATTTTTTCCTGAAAGGTCAGTGTGAACCAATTACTCTGGAACTCTGTATGAACTTGCCTTACAACTATACTAATTATCCAAACTATCTGGGCCACAGGACTCAGAAGGAAGCCTCTATCAGCTGGGAATCTTCTCTTTTCCCAGCCTTGGTTCAGACCAACTGCTATAAGTACCTTATGTTTTTCGCCTGTACAATCTTAGTACCAAAATGTGACCCCCACACAAGTCAGCGGATCCCACCTTGCAGGTACAATACTTTTCCTAATTTAATTCTTGACTAACGTTGTCTATCATACTAGTCTTTCCCAATTTTCTGCTTTCATTGAAAAGGCTAGAATTTTTGCTTTGGAATTTCATAGCAACAGCTATAGAATCATATTTTGTAAGATCATTAAATGTAGTTTATTACATGCATTTCATTAGTTTCTGAAATTTTCAAAACAAATAAAAGAATTTCAGTTCAATTAATTTTCTAAATCTGTTTATTGGGTAAGTTTATGAAGTATTTTCCTTTTCTATGCGTTTGATTAGAACTGTACCACTATACAGGGTATGTAAATGCAGAAAAATTAGTTTAATTTGAAACATAAGCATTCGCAATAGTTCTCTGAATTTGTGTATCACTTAATCTATGCAAAGCCCTATCCAAATATATCCAAACAACAAAAAGATTAATCATGCTTTCCTTTCTAAACTAGAGAAGTGCCATAGAAATATATAGCCCAGTTTTGCCACGTCATTCTTTATTATATACTAACTTACGCTTCACACTTGTCAGATTAACTTTTCAACTGTCCTCATTGGTTAACATAGTTTTCTACTGTATTGAAAGAAGACTGTACTGAAAATTGCAATACATGTGCAAAGGCATCCCATCATGTAACACTGTTGACAAATAGATAATATTTATTTATCTAGTGGTATACTTCTTAGTGCAAGTTAAGAGTGAGACGCAGGGAGATTTACTAAGATAATGCTTAATTCTCACATAGGAACCTAACAGGAAAGTTAGAATATTGCATATGGGATAGATGCAAAGGAAGGGATTCAAAGCTCTACTTTTATAACTATCTTATCTGAATCTAGATCAACTTAAGTACAATTGGAAGTTCCTGAGGGCAGAATATTGCAGTCTGAGCACACAGCACACACACGGAGCACATTCTAAGAATCTGCTGCTGCCTTTTCAAAACAATTGTCTTGTTCAAGGATAGCAGTGATTAATTGAGCTAAACAGGACGCATGTATTGCTTTACTTGTCTTTTCCAGTAATTATGAAACTGAGTTCAGCTAATGCAATTTTCCAGTGGTAAACTTTCCAAGTCAAATTATACTTTCCAACCAGGAATTGCAAATTCAAATTGTAATTCTGCATCTGCTATAAAATACATTTATCAGAGATATATTAGAATTTTTGATACTTGGCACACTGATCTGTTCTTTCCATTTTAGGTGGTACTACCCAATGGTTTTAATTTTACTCTCCCTCTATATAAAGATATATGTATGTATGTATATATACATATATATATACATGATCATATGTGTATATATAATGTGTATATCCTCCCTCTTGTAAAGATTTTCATAATCTTTTTGCTACTAGTTTGATCATCATGATTTATTTTTTAAATATAAAAGTCTTCCATGAGGCTTGTTAAAGTAAGGAGCACAGATGAAGAGATTTTTTGAAAGAACAGATGTGACTGTTATTCAGGCCATTCAGTCATCTATCGAGTACGCTTTCAAATTCTGAACAGCATTCTTCATCTGTGATAAGACACTGGTAAAATTAGTCCAGTCCCGATGAAACGAGCCTTGAAGCTAAGTACGTACTCGGTTCCCGTTGACTTCAAATGGAGCTTCATAGATGAAGTGTATGTGGAATAAACACAGAAATTTCTATTTTCTTGTAATTACACATGATCTTAACTATGGATTGAATCTGTGAGATGCTGAGCAGATTTCAGATTTCTCACTGCATCTCAGCAAGACTATTAAATGTTTTGTACTTTCTTCTGAAGCATATATGATAAGTAAAAGACCTGACAGTCACAATGTAGTGCAGTACTCAGGTCTTCATTCCAGCTGCTCAGTTCAACAGTGAATCATCTGGTGCAGAAAAAGATCTAACCTTGTTCTTGTAATCTCCCAAAACAACATTAAAATTGAAGATAATAATAATATATTGCTATCTCAAATTAGGCTAAGGATCCTTTAGTTGATCTTTTTGCTATGTTTTGGTCACTCCGTTTCCTGAAGCTGATTACAGGAGTAAAATGGTGCATTGGTCAAAGTATTAAAGTAAAATGATGAGTGGAATAAAATGTCTTCCATGAAAGGAGAATTTCTTCCTAGAAGAAAGATTTGGAAAAGTTGATTAGATAAAAGTCAATTTCAAAGTGACGTGAAGAAAACTGAAAAATATATAAATGGTAAGATCCTCCTATTTAATGTTTTTCAACATATAAGAACAGAGGGGGCATTTCTTTGCAACAGTGAGTCGAAATTATTATAGGTTTAGAAAGTATGATCTACAAGGAATGACTGAATGAGTTGCTGAGTCTAGAGACAAGAGAAGACTATTGAGAGGCATCATAGCTTTCAGATAGTAAAGGTAAGCTTCAAATAGAAAAGAAATGAATTGTTCAAAATGTTCACCAATGTTAAACCAAGAAATAGTGGATTTAAAGTATATATAGGCCAGATACTAAGAAAATAATAGATATCGAGGTATTAGGATGATTGGTAAGGAAGTTTATGAAATCTTGCTCACTGAAGAATTTTTAAGACCAGTTTGGAAAATACCTGCCAAGAACAATGTATGTTTCTGTCTGGGGGAAGAGATGGAAAGGATGCTGAGGTACTTAATGCCACGTTGTCTAGTTAATATCCCACAAAAATGAAAAGCAGCGTTTTGACTGGTACCATAACCACTGAACTCACTGAAAAGAGACAGTTGAAACAAACAGGGATTCACAATTCCACAGATACAAGACTATAGTATTTAGAGGCATATCAGCCTACAATTCTGGTCATAGGTAGTTGCTAATTGTTTAAAATGATCCTTCCCCAATATGTTATGGAAATTTCCTATTATGCATGTTCTCTCTATGCATTTGAAACATTTGACACAGAGTATTCTGAGAGACAGGATATTATGATACATAGATGATATCATCTAAATGATGATACCATCTATATGATATATAGATGGTTTGAATCTGGATGGATTGAATCGAGGTCACCTGAATTGATTTGGCATGGCAAGTCTTCTGTTCTTATGGTAAAAAATGAATATGCAACAGCAGGACTATTTTCTTGCCCTTTTCTAGGTGCGTTAAAGGCTTCTGTTGCTGTAACTAACCACACCTTCAAAACTAGATTGATCTATGCTTTGATTTTGTCCACACTTATAATTTTATTGAATTCACTGGAGAGTGCTTTGCTCTTTTGTTTCCGGGTTTAAGATGTGTTGTCTTTCTGGAACCATGGTTCCAGACCAGGATTGGGTTAGCCTGGTTTGTTCTTTACTGTATCCCCTGTGAGTGTCTGAAAATGCACTCAAAATATTCAGAGCCTGTCTGTTCTTATGTCCATTGAAATCTGACAGAGGCAAAACTTTCTTCTGTACTACATTGCCCTTCAAATGCTATCTATTCTGCTGTAGTACAATGGTTTCTGAGGTAGCTTTATCAGAAGAGGTAGCATTTCATTGGTACAATATGTATTTGGCTTTTTTTCCTGAAGGACAAAAGGCAGTGCTTCTTAGAAAAGGTTTGCTGCCATTTCTTACAGAGGAGAGGGAGTTTGTAAGGAGTGGTGTTTGTCTATTACGTTATAAGTCAGGTAATACCTTGCATACAGTAATTTAAAGTCATGTATCAACATCAGCAATATGTCTTTTGGTATATATTTTTTCTTATAAAGAAATCTGATTAACATATATTTCCTTGCTCTTCCTCTTTAACTTTGGCTAGGATTATTAAGTTCCAATAACTGGGAATTCCTAAGGCTTTTCCATAGTAGTTTTATGCAACTCCACTTTGTGTTCTCAGGACTTTATGTGAGCAGTCGAAGGAACGCTGTGAGTCTGTACTTGGCATTGTAGGTCTGCAGTGGCCAGAAGACACTGACTGCACTCAATTTCCAGACGAGAACTCAGACAACCAAACTTGTCTAACACCAGATGAAGATGTAGAAGGTAACTCCTATAAATACATTTAATGGGAAATTAAAGATTAATTAGGTTCCCTGAGGTCACTGATTTGGGGCGGGAGGGCTGTTTTCATTCTTCCCCTTCAAATTATAGTATGTCATGTAGGGCAAGTTTAAATACTGATGTGGTCAACCAGTTGTGGAAAAGATTCCAAATCAGATCTCAGAATTTCCTCTTGCATTTAGCTATCTACAATTTTCAGATAAGAGGAAGTTTTTGTAAAAAAAATTCCTATTCTAAGGAAGGATCAGTTACCCTCAGCGTGGGAAAATAAGTTGAGATTTGTGGCTAACCTACTGCTTGCCTATGTTTATGCTTCACTTTTTTACCTATCTAGATTATATAATAATGCTTTCCTAATCAGGAAGTAAACTTTTGACAGCATTAAGAAGTTGAGCCCCACGAGAGCTCTGAGAAAAGTATTGTGGATGTTAGTGTCTTTGCCACTTGTTGTTTGCTCTTGGTTTTCATTTGGGGAAGGTTTTTTAGAGCATTGTGCCAAGCCAGCTTCAGTAGCAACTGACAAATTTCAGTTTCTTGAGTTCAGCCATAATACTACTCATTGTGGGTGTGAACATAGAACAAAAGAATGGAATTGCCTTAAATGATTCTGCATATTCTTTGTATGTATAAAAAGAACTGCTGTGCAACTTCTCCTTCTGCCAGAGGAGAGCAGATGTGAGGTCTGTGGGGATTCTGACATGCTGTTTCTTTTTCTTGTCAAAATGTCAGTGAAGTAGCTGGGAAAACAGTGAGATGATGGGTGCTAGAATGTCCACAAAATGCTGCTCATGTTCAGTTCTTACTCTCCTCCTACTCACCTACACGGTGATGGAGGTCTTTCCACAGTCTTTTGAACTTGAAGTGAGTGAAAGTTAATTGGTTTATAATTCTTTTAGTGAAGATGTATTGCTGACAAATACAGAAAAGCATTCTGAAAAGTCAGTAAAGCATATACAGCGGTAAGCACTCTCTTTAAGCAAAGTCGTTTTATAAAACATGTAATACCATAATAATAAAATCCTTTGTAGTGGGACACTGAAACAAGGAGATAATTTCCCCCTATAGCAATGGGATGATGGAAAGGAGTTATCTGTTATTAGAAAGCAGTATGCAAGAAAAGGAAAACCAAACTTTTGGAACAACGTAGCAAGTTATAGAAATATAATGCGATTTAATTTTCTCATGTATAAATGGCTTTCACCTTCCTTGCTGTGTTGCTATATCATTCATTTTTTACACATAACGTATCCTGGTTAAATTTTAAATAAACAACTCTGTAGAGGACTACAGTACGTTGTTTCTAGAGTTAAATTCTGTTCACTAATTAAAATTAGAAATTTCAGAAATTCTCACTTTAATTAAAGGGAATCTGACTGCTAGGCTGATTGGTTGCCTGTTGATTATCTTATCACCGAACAATGTTGGTTAGAAACAGTATTCCCTGGGAAATTTAAAATATTGTATAAACATTTCTTAAAAAAAATCTGTAACGAAAGAAATTAAGCTTCTGAGAGCCTTTAAAATGTTAGTGATGGCAAAAAATAGATGATATACCCACTTAAACTATAATTGGCAGAGAAACTACAATGTGCTGAACCCCTTAACTTCCTTTCCAATCAGTGCTGAATCCAAGAGTACTGCTGGGCTAAGATAGCATGTATCATAAACTTAGTTATATTCATAGTAACTTATCCTTAAAAGTTGGTGGTATGGCTCACCATGTTTTTCTCATTAGAATGTTATTTTCTCAGGCTTCCAATTTTATTGATGATATTTTTGTCACAACAGTTTATCAAATCCTAAAATTTACCCAAAGAGCTGCATGGTATTAAATATCTGAGAGATTCTGCTGGAAGAAAAAAAAAAATTAATGTGTAATGGAGTTTGTTTATCCAAGTCACTGAGCTATACAGAGTGAAGAAGTGGGTGGGATTTTCAAAAGCATGTAAACAGATTGTCACATAAAGCCTTCTGAAAATGGTACTCTGTAAAATGCAGTGGAAGTGATGTAATGATTGATTTGTACATTTGAAGGTGGTTTTATTAGTTTAAACAGATAGAAATCTGCTAAAATCAGAACCTTTTGTCCTGGAGATTTCTTATACTCTGTTCAGAACATCAGATGATCTTTTTCTGCTTCACATAACACCACAGTGGTGAGCAAAGTAGCTAGAAAATCTGTGCCCACAATGTAAATGTTACATGCCCGTAATTTCAGAAAACTTTGAAACTTGAGAGAGAGAAGCATGTGAGTGAGAGCTCTGGAAAACAGTGCTTCACACCGTTTGCACTGCAATTGTTAAGAATAGTCTCGTCTGCTACACAGTTCTTGTTTACTATCTCACATGGTTTCTATTCCTGTCATTTACTCTTTCAAAACAGTCACTGTGACAGATAAATAGCCACATGATGATTAAGCTTTCAATTTATGGAATTTTGTTTTTCTCTTGTTCCTTATCATTGACAGAGTGCTCACCCAGTCACTTCAAGTGCCGATCTGGGAGGTGTGTCCTGGCATCCAGAAGATGTGATGGTCAAGCTGACTGTGAGGATGATAGTGATGAGGAAAGCTGTGGTAAATAAATTCAACAAGCTAGATTTTTTGAATAGAAATTTGAAGCATCAGAAAAGTAGTTTTGTTTTTCTTCAGTTAGTTCAACCATAGTGTGACAGTTCAAAGGATAAGGCCATTTTCCTGTAAGAAAAATATTTTTGAAAGTGATTTTTAAGATTCATGTCAGTAAAAATACTTTAGCCAGCATTCTTCTTGATTAACATAATTTATGATATTTAATATATTAGATTCTGTTAACTGTAATCCAGGTGTATGTGTGTTCATTTAGTATTTGAGATGAAAAAAACTACAGATTTGATTCTTTTTGTCTGTTGATGCTGGTAGAGGTTTCTTCTGAGCTGAAACTTAACTTCCTGGCAGTTTAAATCTTGAATTTGTAAATGCAGTTTTAAGTGTATATACAGCAACATTTTCATTTTGATGGATTAACACAAGGTCTGTGTTAGTGAAGTGGATTCTGTACTGCAAGTGTCAAGAGTTACGTGTTTTTTTCCCAGTGGTCAACCTCTAGCCATAGGTGCAGGTATGCACCTGAAGTGATAACCACAAACTTATTTAAGGTAGAGAAACTCTTGACTCGTAACTTCAGGATTATTGGGTTTCAGAATAACCAACAAATCTCGTGATCATATATACCCTTGTATATACTGGCAGGAGAATTTTGAGAAGGACAAGGGAGTTTATAATATTTCCTTATTTGGCTCTAGTGTAGCCTTTGTGGAGATCTACATGTTGTCCTGGTATCCCTAGTGTTTTTCAATCCTTTACTCATGTTTACATCTCACCTCTAAATCCTTAGTGAGTAATGGTAAATCACTAAGGATTTAGAGGAGAGATGTAAATATGAGTAAAGGATTGAAAAACACTCCAGCAGTGTAGGATTAAGGGACACGCTCTGTTTTGCTTAACAGGGGGAAGGTTAAGAGGTGATGGAAGCACAGTTTCTGTGGGCAGCAAAATTGTGGCAATAAAAGACTCTCCACTCAGTTGCACAAAAACAAAATCCCAACCAACACCTGAAAGCTGAAGCTAGATTAAATTCAAACTTGTCAGCTCTATAAAATGCTTTTTTTAACAGCAGGTTATTTTAATGATTGGAATAGCCAAGGGCTATTGTATAGGTATTGTATAGGTACAGGTATGATGTATATATAAATCACGAAGGACTGATATGTTCTCAGCCTTTGGGAATTTTCAAATCAAGATTATATTCTTTTTGTTCTTCCTTCCCCATTCCATCTCCTCCTTATTAAAAAAAAAGAAAAAAAAAGAAAAAAAAAGAAAAAAAGATATGCTTATTGAAATGGAATTTAATTCTTGGTCATTCTCTTGTATAGATTATAAAGGAAAGGCAGAGCTGATGATCACAGTGACTTTTCAGAGTTTATAATCACTTTACCTCTGAATCAATTGTCTTGATTGTCCTCCCCATCAAATACTTTTGTTACCACTTAATTCCTGAGAACAGCAATTGCTATGTGTCTTTTAGGTTAATTTTGTACTCCCAGACATTAACATATGAAATATTGTTCTGATACATAAAATTAATTTCTTGAGTCGATCTCTTGCTTTCTCTCTCTCTCTCTCTCTGGTCTAGACAGAATGTCAGTAGCAATCAACAGAATTCTTATCAGCTTCTATAAATATGAAAGGCTATATCTGCTAGGAAATTACAGCTGTCAGAGTGACATTACACTGACCATGGGTAATGCTGTTACGGAAGAACAGCCAGTCCTTGTAAAGCTGCAGAAGTAACTGTCTCTGACTCATTCATATCTCATGTGTGCAGGACAAAATCAAAACTTGTTGATCTTTCCTTGTATAAATGGCTAGCTTACATTATATTATATTCTTTGAAATAGTTTTCATGCCATTAAATAACAGTCAGTATTTAAATTAAAAAAAGATTGTATTTGAAGTGACTTAAATGACAAGGATGCTTCTATTGGGATGACCAAATCTATTTCTGTTAGAATACAGCCTTTGGATGCTCGAGGTACTCTGGCCAAAAAGGTAAGCTAGAACACTCCAAAGGGACTAAAGTATATTCTGCCCGTGCAAAGCCGAGCTGTGCTTGGCACCCACTGTCTTCTCCCTTTTGGAATCCCTTCCCATGCTTTCACATGGTCTCTGTGCCATTTAGACTAGAATATGTGGAGAAAATTTGACCCAGAGTTTTGAATGTGAGACTTTGGAGTGCATTTTGGGAGAGTCTGAGGAAATTAATTTCTGAAAATTATCATCATGAGGGAAGTGAAGAGAGTTTGTGGCATTAAATATGCTTGATTGTACAGAAGATGGTCATAGAAGGTTATTAAAGGAATTGAGGATATAACATTATAAAACAATATTGTCATTCTCTGCTTTCTGAGATCTGACTGTAGTATTTTAGCTGATATAAAAATGTGTTGGTCTTACTGTTAAGGACTTAATAATAATTTCCTGGGGAATGTATTTGTGAATAGCAAATGATAACTCAGTTCATATTTAGAAGGAGAATGAAGGTAAGATCATACATTAATCCCTATCTCTTGTCAAAACGTATTTTTGAGACAAGAGTAATGTAAGGATAAGTTTTCTGATCTCTGTGTTCACTTTCATTTCATTGTCTTTAATTTAAAAGTCTATGTTATAAAAATATTTGGGGAGGAATAGAAACGCCCCCAAATGGTAACTGGCCTTCTACCAACAAAACAGTATATTTGAACACGGAAATCTGTGTAGTGAATTTTTCCTGGGGAGTTGTGACTGTGTCCCTATTGCACTCAGGGTTTGGAGAGCCATGGAACACCCCACAATAAAATGCTATGAAATGTAATGAAGGGAAAAAGCATAATTAATTAATTGCTAACACTTTAGCTAACAAATTGCAATGGTTCATAAATTAGATTTTTTTAAATCTTTTTTATTTTGTTCTTATATCAAGCTCCTAACATGACTGACATTCTCTTTCTTCTTTATTAGATAAAGGTTTTATTTCATTTCTATTAATTTTTTGTTAATAGTTATCACAATTGTTTTCAAGAAGGAACACTGGAAAATGGTGTTAAGTGAGAAAATTAGTGAGAAAATTCTTTGATTAGCTTCAGAGGTTTACACCAAACCCCAAAGAAATTCTTTTTCATGCTCAAATAAGCCTAACTCTTATGTTAGAAAGAGATCCACTGCTGTTAAAATATTTCCAGAAACGCTAATCACCATGCTTCCAGGAAGCAGAAACTGAGGTCTAGAATTGGGTAAATAGCTTAAACCTCTTCTTTACATCTCTCTAGGGAGATGTAAATTGCACATCCCTGCCGCAGCCTGGACTTTTCTATCTTTATAGGAAATCTACTAAAGATAAGCAGACAGGAATATCACAAAATCGTCTTTAAGCTTTTGGCACCTCTACCCTAAACATTAGTCTTACGTTGAAAAGAAATAAGTATATAACATGAGCTAAACCTAATATCAATGATGGTAACATGGCTTTTATGAGTTTGTCCTTGCAATTGTCTTTTTATTAAAAACGGTCTCTGTTTTGGTACTAAGTGGCTGAAAAAGAGAATAAATCAGTAATGCCTCATTCCTGGCCATCACAAAGTTACTCATTGTCCTCCAACGCTTCCTGCCTTCTTAGGAAGGCTATTTATTTCTCTGTGTGCATAAAATTTTTTTACATGGCTTGTTGAATCTAAACAAAATCAAGCACTTTACACATCCTGTTTTGATTAAAACCCAACTAGTTTTCCCATAGTCATATGAGCTAGCAGTGATTCTCTGGTTCATGTTTATAAAAAATTCAGTTCTGAAATAATACTTCTTAGAAACAATGTATCATTTTGGTAATTTACCACTGATATGCTGCTTTAGTTCCAGATCTGGGGAAACAGAGGTGCTGCTTCAAAGGCAGTATGTGAGCATATACCCAAGTTATTTTTGTGTGTTTGCGTGAGGGCTGTCCCCTGAATTTGAGCTTGGATTAAAATGAAAACTGGCATTGTCGGCCAAATGAGGCAATCAAAACTACATCTGTTTTGGTCAGTAGAACATGAGAACTCTCTATGTTATCGTTGATTATTGTGGCTTCCAGTAAAATCAGAATGTCATATGCACAGGACAGTGTGTTGAAGTAATTCATTCTTAAACTGATATCACAGTGAGGTGCTTTATTAATTGTAAAAAGCAAATATTGCGGATAAAAGACGAGAAAACTTTTTAATGAAACATACCTCAGGCCATTCTTAATTTTCTGTAGTTGGCTAACAGGATTTTTATAATCAAAGCACTTTGACACAGTTTTTAAAGGATTGCCTCTTGAAGCATTAGCAAATCAGTGCTGCTGATTAGTAGGTCTTTGAAGAGACAGTAATGCAGTGTATTCTGTGCATAATAATATATCCTCTTGAAGATTTACACAGCCAATGGTCTTGTAATCTTTTAAAACTTGTTTGGTCTCAGATTACTGGAACTAAGAAAACTTTGTTCATGGTCAATACTTACAGCATCTCCCTACCTTCCACTCTGATCTGCATCAGATTCTATATTAACTCTGTCAGGAAAGTAAAAATCTTTATGTTGTTTCATGGAGATTCCATGCTCCTATAGGATTTAATTTTGAAGGAACAAAGCTCTGTATGGTACACTTTTAAAGGAAACTCCACAGACTTCAGGATTAGAAATGTTTATTACTAGTAAATGCACTTCAAGAGTATTTGTGTATGGATAAGTATTTGAGCTAATGCCTAAATCAGTATGTATGGCACGATATAGATCATTTCTTAAAAAGCAATGAAGTATTGCAAAGTATTATTGTATTTTATCCATTTGAACAAGTTTGCATTGTGACAGTCTTAATTCCGTTTCCCAGTTAGTTCTTAGTAACTCTTAAATTACATCTCAAAATATTTTGAAAATTTAGGGTTGATAAGGAAGAAAAAAAGCTGTTGACATTTGATATTGCATGCAAGTATTTCAGAACTGTGCTTCTCTGTCTCCAGGCTGTAGAGAAAGAGGTCTTTGGGAGTGTCCTTTGAAGAAGCTGTGCATCAAGCACACTATGATCTGTGATGGTTTCCCAGACTGCCCTGACAAGATGGATGAAAAGAACTGCTGTAAGTGCTTATGCAGATTGTTGGTAGCTACTGTAATGTGTAAAGGGTTGAACACATTTTGGGGATTCTGGAGTCCAGAATAAATTGAGATAAAAAGATTCTCTCCAGACAGAAAAGCTCAGTCATTCCCTCAGTTTCCTTTTCAGTCCTTCTGTGGCACCAGTTTCTCTCTTTCCTCACTTTGTGTCATCTGCTTTTCACATTCTTAGATCCTCACTGTCTCTTTGGTCACTCCCTCTCTCTTTCACTTTCTCTCTAAAAAAAAATCTTTCCCTTTCTCTCTCTCTCTTTCTGCTCCTCACAGCTTTGTGTGTCTTTTCTTTTTACTTTTTGTAGCCCTTTGACTTCTTTTTCCAGCTTTTCTCAGCTTTATTCCATATAAATATAGCTGCTCACTGGTCATTTTTTCTTCATTTCCACTTGACTATCCTTCTGTCCTGTCCTTCAGTAACTTTCATATGTCTCCCTGTTTTCTTTGATTCATCTGCTTGACATTTCTTCCCATGTGGCCTCTCTGGCATCTCCTACTTCTAAACTGTGATAAAGTATCAGAGGTATGAAACTTAGTATGAAAAATGACAGTATGGGTATATGAATTGGGCCAAACTGCTGACGTTGGGTAGTAGACCCCTTTTCCCCATAGGCAAGCTGGAGCTGGAGCATGCCTATGTTCTGTTTCCACTACACAGCTGGCTGGTGGGATGGGAAGAGGTGGAGGACCTGTGAATGGCAGCTGCTTTGCGGGTTCCCACCTGCATGTGAAGCCAGGAGTGGGTGCTGTGAGAATTTTGCTTTACTTTCATGACTATATTAGTGGTACTCTGAATTCTCTTCTTTTGAGAAAACCTGTTGCATGGGTGTGTGTCCAAGAGTAGGAACTGGAAAAGACGTATTGGCCGAGACTCAGCCTGCATGAGAAAGAAGAGATGCTTGGTAAAGCTGACTGAGAGCTGGAATTTCAGTTCTCTGGGCAGTCACAGTATTTCAGCATTTTTGCTGGGGTTGTAGGAAATACATTTTACAAATTTAAAAAAGTTGCTTCTGACTCTGGAGTTCTGCTAGCAGAGACAGGACAATAGGCACATTTTCTGTGCTATATGGAGCATATGAATGTATTTGTGAAAATGATTGACAGCTTAGATATATCACTGGATCTAATGTTTCTCCTTAGGAGAAGGCAGAACCTTTCTTAATATTCTGTTCACTGTGAAGACTACACTGTTTGTCTTCCAAGGGGTCTACATGCCTAAAAAAGAAGGAAGAAGGTATTAAAGGTATCTACAAATTCCAGCCAGGATACATACAACCACTTATCTTTTATAGAAAGCATATCATGACTATTCAAATTTTTCTGGCTTTTAATTGACAATTTTTAAAAAATCTGTAGATCTGGATACTTTCAGACCTATAAAGAGAGAATCATTGCAGATCAAAGGAGTAAGCTCTGTCATCTCAGAAAAGCTGTAAGACTTAAGCTGCACAGCATATATGTCTCCTGTGACTTAAATAGAGCATCACAGTTTTTAATACGCTGTTCTCACAAGCTGGAGCACAGAGAAAGTGAGTGATTCACTCATGATCACACAATAAGGTCACGGCAGAGAAAAGATTCTCTGAGGTCTTAGGTTAGCCTGGTCTCTTAATTATCAGACTGTATTTCCTTTCTGCTTTTGTGTCAGGGCATGAATAGTCCAAAATGGCAGCAAAGTTTGCTCAGTTGAGGACTTCCAGCTTTTGAAATATACTCTCTCTGGAGGGCAGAATGAGAGAGCTTTTTCTAATTTTTCATGCTTTCTTCCAGAGCCAAAATGATCACTTATGTCACAGAAGGCAGCACTGCCTTCTATTTCTATGTAATTTTCACTGTGGAGTTCATTCTTTCCACTAGTGTTGCAAATAAATGCTTAGCTTGTATGGCAATATAGACAGTATACAACAGCCAAATATAGGCACAGCTGAATGCAACTTTTCTCAAGCACTTTCTTCCCTGACCCCCAGAACTCCCTAATGATGAGATTTATAGAAAAGCTGGAAGAGAAATGTGTTAATGAGGAAGGTGCTGTAATGCTATACACCTGCCTTTTGGGGGATTTTTGTTATGGTTGGGGGCAAACTTAAAATCTCTTGCGAATTGGAAGTTCTCATGGTTCCTTACAAACTAGCAGCGTACCGTAACCTGAAGCAAGTCTCTCTGTACATCAGTTCCGCAACTCCAGGATAAATAATAATTCCATGATTTTAAATAGCAAAAGAGGATCCAAAAAAGAAACATAGAACTTGCTGTGGATGAAATAAAATATATGTGTTACAGGAAAATATAATTTTTTTGAAGAACACAAAGAAATAAACAGATTTGGAGCAGTCTCCTAAAAGGCAAGGAACACATTTTGGGTTAAGGCTTGTGTGAGAGCCTAGGTTTCATATGACAAGACCACAAATGATGTTGAATAAAGAAGATAGACTGGCGCATACACCACAGATCTTGCCATGTTCAGAAGCCCTTCCTTCCTTTTGGCTTGTGGTGCCCTCTGTGACCGAGTGGCAGCAACCACCTTCTACCTCAGTGGTGTCCTTCATGAATTTTGTTGCAAGTCTGTCTCACTGCTCCATAAATTTGACCTGTGCCTACCTTCTTCCTCCTTCACCTTTTTCAGTCTCAGTGTACATTTTATGTTGATCATTTCTTTCTCAGAGTCAAACATGTTTTTGTCCTTGCAGCCTTTTGTGAGGAGGATGAACTTGAATGTGCCAACCATGAATGTGTGCCACGTGAGCTCTGGTGTGATGGACAAGTAGATTGCAGTGACAGCTCAGATGAATGGAACTGTGGTAAGTTTCCCCCTTGGTGCACTCTGCCTGGAAGTGATGTTTGGGTAATGGCAAAATTAATGGTAATAATCAATGGTGATTTGATGTAGAATACAGTTGCAGTGGTGGAGAGTTGCTCCCTTTGTTTCTGAAAGGAGGCTGGGCTGAGGCTGGGAAAGCAGGAGAGAAAGTAGGCAAAAGAGAAAGGAAAGGCTCAGTGGGAAGCATCAAAGATACAAAAGTGGCAAGGAAATTCTAGATGATGTATAAAATCTGGAAACTTGTGGGCAGTGTGGAGAGTAGGAAGACACTCGGGTATAGAATTTATCTAGGCAAAACTTCTAAGCCCCAGTTCTGTACTCATGGAATTTAGTGTGAAATCCCCACTGGCCACGGTGGTGCGGGTTCAGAGCTTAGAAGAGGAAGATAGTTCTAGTAGCTCCACATTGCACTGGGTACGGACCTGCAGAATGACGGAATCTGCTAATGCTGTCCATACTCAGAATGAGCCTCATGCTTCTGTGTATTATTAAAGTAGAACTCACAAAGCATTACTCTTTAAATAAAAATGAAGATGGATTTCATAAAAATCATACTGAAAAGAAGCAGGTTGGAAAGCAGTGGTATATCCTACTCTGATATTTTACTGAGTCAAAATGTATTTCTGTACATGAAAGGATTTTATATTGCTAAGTTTTGAGATGCTTTGTAAGTTATTCAAATGTAGAAAAAAAGATGTTTCATGGCTCATAGAAGCAAATATTTTATATTCATATTGAAGTAGATTGTATAAACATTTAATATTGTATAAGCATAAGTAAACAACAATATTTAGTAAAACCTGTGCAACAGGGATGAAATGTTCTAGAAATGCATATTTGAAAAGCAGTAATCAAAGATGAATACATGTTTTTATGGGGAGAGAATCAAAAGCACCTTCAGCATATAGGAAAAATGCTTAATGGCTGTTTATGTTAAGATTAGTACTATCCAAACAAAAGTGAGAAGAATAGTTTAAAAAAAAAACAGTATGTATTTTGGGAAACATTGCACACAAAGCCTCCCTCTTATCCAGGAGCCTAGAGTCACGAGAGGGATGTACATTTCTATTGGCTCATTTGGGGCCATTTTGAGAAGCTTTTATGTGTTATAAAAGCAGTTTACACACTTTTATATATGGATTAACAGAGAAGTAATGGTCATACTCTTTCTTGTAAGCAGCAGTTGATTTTTCTGTTGCTAATCACACACAGACATTGTTCTGACAGGAACAATGCATACTATTGAGAATCAAATGATGTTATCACTCCTGTCAAGCAGCATTCCTCCCATAAATTACCTAAGTGATTTCAGCTGGACTATTTGAGGAGTAAAATACCATTTAACAAGATTAAGGCTATCAGAAACATGTGTGAACAGTCCTCAAGATGTCTTTGTTGTTTGCTGTCTCAAGTTTTTCAATGTTACCAAGATTTTCATAGCCATGGTTGCCTCCATTTTGAAATTAAGCATCTACTGAGAATGGACAATGAGCAAAAGTGTCAGCATTTTCCATGAGTGGAAGACACTTTTGACTGAAGTTATATGTTTTCGGTGCACCATATGTAAAACCAACCATGTGAAATAATAGTCAAGTTATTTTTCTTTTTATTTGCAGTTACCCTGTCTAAAAACATGAATTCCTTGATGTTCCTGACAATTCACAGGTCAGCTACTGATTACCATGTTTGTGCTGATGAGTGGCAAGAAAATTTGAGCCAACTGGCCTGCAATCAGATGGGTTTAGGGTAAGGTCAGTAGTTTGTAGCATTGATGAATTTCTTAGGAGAATTGGCATGATGGAGTTAGATGAGTTTGTGTTTGTGTGATCATTGATCACCATGACCCCCTGCAATGTTAGTATGGACTTAGTATGGAAAGAGTTCATAGAGAAAAGGGGTAATGAAATTGTTTGAACAGTGGCAGGAGTAAAAGTTCTTTAAATCTAGGCACTTTTTACTATTTTACAAATATTAATTGCACAGTTGTTATTAAAAGAGTGTGGTGAAAAGATAATATTCTCTTGCTTAGCCTCAATGTATGAACTTGCAGTTTTTTCTGAGTTTTTAGAATCACTTGGAAATGTCATACTCTATGTATTCCTAAACAATTAAAGCAGAGTTGTCTTATGAAACAGAAGAGAGTTTCTGTAAGCTTGCCTGGGTTCTGCAATAAATTTTGTGAGCTAGGGCAGCCAGATATATTTAATTTAGGTATCTCTGAACAACGAATTGGTGATGACAGAGCTTTCTGTTTGGACCTCAGAAAAAGTACAGCTTCTATGCCTAGTGCATTCGCACTAAAATAATAGTTACTTTATGGAATACTTGATGCAGAGTATAACTGTTGGCTATCAAAACAAGTACCTTGCTTTGATATCCAAAGTTGTCTTCTACTAGGAATAGACAAGCCTAATGGTGTAAAAGGATAACTTTTGCCAGTGTCTGGTCCCCAGACTGGAGTCTATCTGCTTTTTCCCATTACCTATAGTCATGTGCAATCTTGTTCTTTGTACCTTTCCCAAAAAACACGTGAGGATAAAGAGCTTGCGTTACAGCATCTGCTCTTAACCTACTCTGTATCATCTTGCATTACGTGGACACTTGACATCAGTTCTAACATATGATCCTGAATACACAGACCACCTGTGTGGAATGGACAGCCTGCCATTCTAACACAGTAATTCTATACTTCTCTAGCTAGTTTAATATATTCAAATAATCTTGACATTGTCTTTATATTCTAACTTTATATAACTTTCTAATAAGCTTAAACTCCTTTGGTATCTTCAGAAGTAGTTACTGCTTTTACTACTTCTTTGTTGTCTAAGAATAAACTGATGGTCTCAGTATTCAATCATGCTTTTTTTTTCCTTACTATTCTAGTCTAATAGCCTTAGCATCAAAATTTTTTATCTTCCTCTAACACTTACTCTTAGGAAATGTGAAAGGTTTTCAAATTATCACAAGACCTCTGATTCCTTCCTTTTCTCAGAGGTGTGTCTAGACTGAAGTTAGCATGAGTAGAAACTTGCATCTTTGTGCTTCTTCAACAACGCTTGCTTGCAGAAGTAATTATCAAGCCTATCACTTCTAAGACAATGTATGAGACGCAAATATTTCTTAAATTTCACAATCAATTTTCTAACAGAAAGACTCATAATAATTTTTCTATAAATCCTTTTTGTAGTAACAGGTGATTGTGTGAAGGGCTGTGGAAAGTTTCAGTTTAAATCTGAATTTTATTACTTGAGTTTGTCTGTAATACATAGTTTTACTTCTTCTTTCTAATACTTCAGAAAACTAAAGCAGTGTTTTTCTTTCCTATTCTTAATGCCTGATTTTGTCAGTCCCTGAAGCTTGATTTTCTTAGCTATTCTTCCAGTGTGTGGGAGTGGCGCTGCAGAAAACATACTAAATTAGCTGTGAAGATCTATTAAAAAAAAGTCCAAAGATTATAATGCCTGCATCAGAACTAATTTCAGAAAGGAGTAATTTGAGTTAATATAAACTATTTAACTCTTCTTTTAATATTGCTTAGGTATTCAGTGTCACAGAGGGTAACATTTGCTATACGGAAGGGTGGAAGATTAAATAATGCAATGGGATTTCTTACCACTGTGAATTCTGATTTAAAGCCACAGACTTCATCTGTTTCCACTCTCTCCTGCACTATTTATTAGACTTATAATAACAAGAAAATCTGAATGGAAGGTTGATAACATTGGCATACTTAGTAAGTTATTTCCAATCAGCGTTGAGGGTACATGTGAGTTAGACTGTATATTGTATAAAGCTCAAATAATGATGAAAAAAATATTTGTTTCCTAAGCATTTTTCATGTTTCATTACAAGGATAACATAGTTTGAGCTGTGCTTTTCTTCAGATGTCCTTAATTGGAAATATTTCATTTTAGTCATTCAGAAAATTAAAGCTGTGAACATAGAAATTCTGTCCATATTACACCACATTCCAGAAACCACCAGCTGGGTAGCTATGCAAATTTATTCAACAACGGCTTATGCTGATACTTTGTTTTGGTTTAATGTCCTGTTTATTCTTAGAGCAAAACAGTGCATGTGAGATTCAAAGCTGTGACCTCTTAGTATCTTAGGCTGAGAATTACAATGAATGTATGATATTTTTACTTTCTGTATAGCTCTGCAACATATAACTGATGTCTGTGACTGATGTTCTCCCAAATGACAAATCCCAATTACTATTCTGCCTATTGCGCTAAACTCGGGCTATTTTCCTGGTTGTTGGCCAATTCTAACGCCACAGGTGTTGTGATTTTCCAGTTTTTCACAGCACAAAACAGTTACAGGATGCAACATCACAGAAAACTGTCTAAGGTCCAAGCATTGTCTGCAAGGCTTCAGACTAATCATGGCTGTTGCTCAAGTTTTGCAGTGTATGTACTTAGCAGTTCATGTTTTCCTCTAGCACAAAAAGGATGCTAGCTATGAGCTGAACTTCTGTTTATAATGCTAACAGCCTAACTGGAACTGTTTTTATAGTTTGAGTGTTACATTTTATAAAGTTTGCAGCCAGATAGGACTATCGCATCATCTGATATGACAGCCCCTTCATCTCAGCATAGATAATTTTGTTTAGAGGCCTCCTAGTGAGCCAACATTTAAGTACAGTAAAGCATGTCTCTGGCAATTAGGTTTCGTGGTACTACAGGTAGAGAACAGAAAAGATTGCCATCAGTGCTCAGATCAGTTATTAGCTATATCACTGGTGTGCTGCAGAGACTGTACTGGTGAAGATGGACAGTAGTGCATGTTCAGAAGACTAGGTTTGTCTTGATGTTTTGCTGAAGAAGACCATTTTAACATACTCCGAAGTCCACAGTTTTGTTGATGAAACAGTAATAAAAACTATGGTCTGCTGAGACCTGAAATTTGACAAAAACAGAAGTTAGTGGAGTTGTTTGGTTACTCTATGGAAATTCAGTGAATAGTTTCTCTTTCTTTCCTGAACTAGGATGAAATGACAAATGTCATAATAATAAGCTTCAGCAGCTGAGTAAAGAGGAATTTCATCTGAACTACTTAGTCTGATCTAGCTGTATCAGCATAAAAGCACAGCTGTTTCCCAAGCGAGCTTTTGTAAAAAACTACAAAAAAAACCCCACAAAAAACCTACAGTATAAGCTCTGTTAGTTACTACTGTTGCTGCTGCTGCTCCCTTTCTTGGAGGCTGGGCCACTGGTAATCCATTGAAATAGGTAGTTCCTTTCCTTTCTTTCCCTGCCACAGCATCCACTGCGTGTGGATTTGTGGAAGGGGAAGGACAATTGCTTGCTGCTGCCTGGCTTCGTCTTTCCTAATGCTTTCTCACTCTGTCCCTTTGGTACAATATTCTTTATTAGTATTTGCTGCACTGAGTAGTTCAAGCTGCTGGACCAATATTCTTTTTTCTAACATGAGTTATTATACTAACTAAATTTCTAACTATTTTTGCAGCAGAAATAATGTAAGTTGAGTATAGTGTCTTACTTGTTTAGAAATATCACAGAAAACTAATTAGAATACTTATGCTCTATCCACATTAGAAATCTGAACTTCTGAATTTAATCTACTCTATTTTCTCCAAGAATAAACATGACAGGTAGTAAATCAAATTCCTTGTCATGAATGAAGTATTTCAATTCATTAATTCAATCTGGAATTCTAAACCCACTCAACAGAATGTAAAATATGTCTGACCTACCTTGAATACATTAATTTTGACCATGGCAGCAGTGCATTCTATTAAAACTTTAAAATAAAATAAAAGAACACAGAATTCTTTGGATTACTTTTATTTTATGAAGAGGAGCAGCAAATAATTTATTAAATAAGATTTACCAAAAATAACAGTACAAGTTGTGGTTGATGTGGAAGATTTTAATAGTTTTGAGAAACCATAAGACAATGGTAAAACACAATTATACATAGAATACATACATATAAAGCAATAGATTACAGATTTATTTTATTATATTTAATATTTATTTCTCATCATTCATGTATATAGGTAGTTTAAAATTTTATTTAAAATCATTTGGAGAAGGCTTTTTTCAAAGAAATTTTAAACTAATAATTCCTTGCAAATTGTGACAACTGCTTCAAATAGTCCTTAATTGTATTTTTAATTACCTCATACAGCACTGTTTTAGCTCTATGATTAGGTACTTTACTTAAGTAAAAAAGTAATTTTTGTTATTGTTTGACTAAAATAAAAACAAAAAACAAAGGTTGTTATTCTAATGATTGGTCACAAACAGTGTTTTCAAACGATGTTATGTCAGAGCTTGTATAAATCACATTATAAAATCCAATTTTTTTTCCCCAATGACTTTCAAATCAAATTTGCTCAAATTAGGTATTTTGTTTCAACATCTTAAAATGAAGCACTTAACATTTATTTTGTTCCAAACCAATATTTTTGTGTTAAATGTGACTTGCATCTTTTAAAATAAAAAGCTTAAATGAAGGACTTTAAATCTGATTTTAAGTTGAACTAAGACTTCCAGCTAACAAAATCTAAATTTTATTTCAAATTTTGAATTTAGATCAGTCCAAAATGTTTTTTTCTCAGTTTAGCTACAAAATCATACATTGTAATTTCTATAACTTTCAGTGACTCAAATGGCCGAGAACAAGCAACCATATGAATCTCTGTAAACATAATTACATGCTAATTCATTTCTGATAGGGTAGAACTGCCTTCCAGTTAGGACATAAGAATGTAGGCC